CTCCTCTCTCTCTCTCCTCTGTCTCTTCTGTCACTCTCTCTTTCTCCTCTGTCTCTCTCTCTCCTTCTCTTGTATCTCTCTCTCCTCTGTCTCTCTCTCTGTCTCCTCTGTCTCTCTCTCTCCTTCTCTTGTATCTCTCTCTCCTCTGTCTCTCTCTCTGTCTCCTCTGTCTCTCTCTCTCTCTCCTCTGTCTCTTCTGTCTCTCTCTCTCTTTCTCCTCTGTCTCTCTCTCTCTCCTTCTCTTGTATCTCTCTCTCCTCTGTCTCTCTCTCTCTCTCCTCTGTCTCTTCTGTCTCTCTCTCTCCTTCTCTTGTATCTCTCTCTCCTATGTCTCTCTCTCTCTCTCTTCTGTCTCTCTCTCTCTCTCCTCTGTCTCTTCTGTCTCTCTCTCTCTCTCTTTCTCCTCTCTCTCTCTCTCTCCTTCTCTTGTATCTCTCTCTCCTCTCTCTCTCTCTCTCTCTGTCTCCTCTGTCTCTCTCTCTCCATCTCTTGTATCTCTCTCTCCTGTCTCTCTCTCTGTCTCCACTGTCTCTCTATGTCTCTCTCTCTCTCTTCAAGTTTCCCTTCTCTCTCTGCCCCTCTCTCCTCTGTCTCTCTCTCTCTCTCTTTTCACTCTTGCGCTCTCTCTCTCTCTTAAATCACATAATCCCGATAGCCAAAAACACCCATTTCATTTAATTCCTGCACGAAACAGTGTATAATCTACAGTTTCGTTTCTGTGTGCAGCGTGTTCTGCCGAGCCCTCTGTGGCATTAGCCTCATGGTTATTTCAGAATCTTGCAATCATATGATGTTTCAATCACTTTTCCCACATTTAGAAAGTCCACTAAAATCATGCTAATTATTCTCCCAAAGCAGAGACAGAGAGAAGTGTGGGTTTTCTCATGTCTTCTCATTAAATGTTTGCTAACACTTGTCATTAATATTGCATGAGAGGTTTTTGGGAACGACGTGCAGTAAAAATCCATGTGTTCGATCGTTAATCCAATCTCTGAGAACCAAATGATCTCATAAAGACCGTAATGGCTGAGATTCTGCCTGATCTCCAAAGACAAAGGAGTTATTACGGCACCGGACAAAACATTTTATATTTTGAATTGTGGAATGATGAAGATTACGCTGTAAAAACAAATATAAATATGAGGTCATAAATGCTTAAATCAAGTGGTTTTTATGTTTGTTTTAGTACATTCTGACTGTCGTAAAACTGGATCCCGTCAGACCTCTGAAGCTAAGCAGGGTAGGGCCTGGTCAGTGCTGTGATGGGAGACCTCTGGGAACACCAGGTGCCACAGTGGGGCGGCTGCGGCTGTAAAGCGCAAAACTGTGATTGCGTCCTTAGGCAAGACACTTCACCCAGATTATTGTGAATGAGTCTGGTGTGTGTGTGAATGGTTGGTGGTGGTGGGAGGGGCTGATGACACAGACTGGTTGCCTCGCTTCTGTCTTTGGGCCCTAGGGCAGCTGTGGCTACAGTAGTAGTTTATCATCAGCGTGTAAAACATGACATGTGAAGAGTGTTGAGTGTCCTAAAAAGTGCTTACTTCACTTTGCTTTGCACTTCTTGCAGAGCAGAGTCCTGGACCAGCAGCAGCAGCAGGTTCAGACTTGAGAACATTCATACAGTAAAGGTCCGGATGTCCATCAGGGAGCTATATGTGGCCATAACAATGTAAGTGTGTCTGGATGTCAGCAGGTAGAGAGTAGAGCTCTCAAAACAAGACCTAGAGTTTCCCAGATAATTTATTTCCATGGAAACACATAAAGAGCAGCGGCAAAATGTAAATGTATTAAAGTAACGCCATCGGTTTGATACTGAGGTTTTTTGGACACTCAAAGATGCTTCACATTATCATTCAATCACTCCATATATAACAGTAATAAACGGCTGCTCTGGGGCACAGCGAGAGAAACCACCACCCGCCATCCACAGGTTCAGATCAGATTCATTGATTTGCCATTTGCAGTAAAACCACATTGGAAAAACTGTGCAAGACTACCCCAGTGTGCACCAGACGGCACACACCAGAGCTCTTGCCACATACACCCTTCCATCACCATTTCTACACAAAAGACAATTTACAGTTTTACGTGTTCAATTCAATCACAATGTACGATAAGTCACTTTAAGTCCCTGTATTGACCCACACTAGGACTCAAAAACACACACTGCTATGGATCGTTTTAATGTTTTTTTATTCTACATAATATTTAACCTTTTTAACATGTTTACACACCTCCTGTCTTTTCACAAACACAGAGTGATTCTATCCATGCCAAATGTGACACGAACACGTCTTCATTGTGAGATCAATAAAGTTTATTGTGTTTTATCCTTGTTTATTCTTGGTTTGTCATCAGTCGTTATCTCGGAGGACTTTACAAAATACTTGAATTATCCAACAACAGAAACAAGAATCAAACCGTGCAAGGAAAACTCTAATGATAAAAACTAGTGGGGAAAAGTGAGAAACCTCTGTGACAGAAAACACATTCATCCAAACAGACGTCAACTTTGTCTGCTTTGATTCTGTATATAATGTTTAACAGTTGTGTAGTATCCTAGTATCTCTGTGTGGAACACTGTAAATGTGCACGTATTCACAGATATGTATATTCCTGAGCAACTATATCCTTATTATTCTATTCTCACAATATTATCAGATTATTATTCTTATTTTCAGATCGTTACTTTAACTTTTTTTTTTTTTCTTGTGAAATACTATGCAAGCTACTGTGACAACGCAATGTCCCTTGTGGATCATCAAAGTCTGTCTAAGTCTAAGTCTAAGAATCAGGTCAGGGAAGACAGTCCGATGTATGGCATGACTTTATAATCAATTCCATTTAATTCAATGTATTCTTGTATCACCCTAAATCAAAATAGTAGAGGACTTTAAAAAAAAACATTGAAATTGCCAACACAACAAATCAAACAGTTAAACACATTGGTTTGTTCAAAGGGAGTTGGTTAAATGTCCATGAATGTTGATAAATGTCCATAAATGTGTGTCCTGGATCATCACCACAGTCCTGTTTGTGAAACCCACTAAAAGTCTACCAGACTCTTGCATCGACACGGAAAAACTCTGAAACCCAGAGGGAGAATCACCGACATCAACCCCAGTTTACCCTGAAAGCGCACACAAAGGCCTCTCTGTTGGACCAATGCTGTGACTTATTAAAAACTGTCTTCTCTTCCATCTGGACTTGGTCTGAACGGAACAATGGCTTCGTTTAGTGCCGTCAAATGTTTGGACGAGGAGCTTTAGACTGTGTCAACGTCAGTGTTTTCTCACCAAAGATGCTCAGTGAAAGTGGCGGCCAACAAAAGGAGACACGATGTTCTTTTAGGGTTTGCGACTTCATCGAGAAAGACGTGTGCGCCGTGATGAACGGTGGGAAAATTAGCGCCGAAGAACTGTGATAAAATGTTGTGATGTTTGATCATTTAAAACAAAGATCTTGGCTTTAATCTGATCAGTTTTGAACGTTTGAATTCAGTGTAAAGACGTAAGAAATGAGCAACGCTGACACTTGGATATTTGTAATGTACTGTAGATAGATAAATACTTTATTGGTCCCGGTAGGAGAAATTCAGGTGTCCAGTAGCAGCAAAAATAAAAAATATTATTGATCATTCTAAAAAGCTAACAATAGTAATAATCAGCAACAGCCCTTCAGGTCACAGCACAAGAGGTGAAGTAGCCTCTGGGTGGAGCAGGACGGGTCACAAGGTGGAGCAGCCGCTTGGTTCAGACCATTTTCTCTGCTCTGGTCCAAAGTAAAATGCTAAATGCTTCATTAGCATTTCTCAAAAAGTTAGATTCCTCCAGTGGATTTTCACCTGATCCACTTGGTTCGGACCATGAATCCTCTCTGCTCTGGTCTGGACCAGTGTACAACCGTGAACACTGAACTGCAGCAACATCTCAGGCAGAAAAATTTAAATTGTCAAGCACAAAACAACAGTTTTAGAGATACTTAGGACTTGCAGATCTTTCCCAGCGCATCTTTCAAAAAATAAGGATTCGGGTTAGGGTTAGTGCAGTGCATTGAAAAAGTTTGCGCATCTCCCCTTTACATAGTGGGTCAGGGTTCGGAGCCACAGCGGCTCAGTTGGAAGAGTATTGGTCTTTGAACCTAAATGGTCGTGGGTTTCGATCCCCCTTACGTTCCATGTCACCAACTCCCACTGATGCCTGCTGTCATTGTGTTATTGGGCAAGACACTTAACCCCACTTTGGCCTCTTCCTGTGGACCCACCACCTGCAGCGAGGGTGTTCATCTCCTGTTTTCGCTGCATGCATCTGGCCGCTGTACCCACCGCCTCTTCCATGCCGCAACAAGGCGTCTGCTGCGGGATAAACGTGAGCGCCATTGATTTTGTTTTGAAACTCAGCCGGTCTGAACACCACTTTCTTATCCCCAACTATAGCCTGACGAAGACGCAAGAATTAAGCACAAAAACAGATAATATAAAATAAGATTGACATTATTGCTCTCACACAGGAGAAATGTACATGTCCCATTTGGCGTAGACTTTATGCCAGGGGTCTCCAACCTTTTCCAATACTACTTTTAAAAAACAGAAGAGGCAGAGAGCTACTCCTTTTTGCAGTCATCAAAATCTATGTAATACGACAAAACATATAAAACGCCTGTAAAATATACTATGATACTGTATGTATTTATACTTGTGATGACTCAAAAGTGATTCATTCAAGATCATGTGTTAAATTATAAGCCATTTGGGGAGCTACCTTAAAGGGGCTGGCGAGCTACTGGTGGCTCCCTAGCTACAGGTTGGAGACCCTTGCTTTATGCCAACTTTTAGACTGGCATAATAATGAACAAGTACAAAATTCTGTAAAAAAAAGTTGTTGTTTATAATAACCATTCTCACCCCTCTCTCGATGCTTCTGTGGCTCTTCCATGTTCAGGTACAGGAGCTGGGTCACTGCGTCTCCCTCGGTCGCCCATAATGATCCAATTCCGACTCAGATGTGACACTGAGCCCCGTTTGCCCTGTCTGCCGTCCCCGGGGCCGGCTGTTTGGAGGTCCACGACACTGGGCCTGGTTCCAGCGCCTCGTGTTGGTGGATGACAGCGCAGTGGCCTTCTCCCTGCAGCTCGTTGACCCTGTGGCAGCGACTCAAACACAGGATATAGTGTGAAAGTCCAGGTCAAACTGCCAGACAGGGGGGAAATGCTGCCACAACAATAACAACAGTGGAACTCAACGTTATTCTCGGTTGAGCTGCTTTTGGTTCAAGTCATTCTCATACGAGCAGGGATGAGAAAGAGAGGCCACTTGTTAGTTATAATGTGAAATATGCTCATTAAAGCTGACTCAAGCAGGCTCCATGGGTGTTAATCTGAAGCCATCTTTGCGAGTTAAATGTATTTCAACACTTTCACATCTTCATACAGGTTAGAAAAGTGGTTGGATGAAGCAGTTTCATTTATACCGTTATATAAATATGAATTAACATGTAATTAAGTTATTAGCGGCAGTAGCGACAGTGGCTCAGTTGGTAAAGCATTGGTCTTTGAAGCTAATGGTCAAAGGGTTCAATCCACCCTGCTCCCACTGATGTCTGCTGTTGTTGTGTCCCTGGGCAAAACACTTCACCCCATTTTGCCTGAAGCCCCCGCTGGAACACCACGGCCGTATCTTTGTGGAAGGAGCAGCCATATACCCCGCCGCCCCAACCCAGAAATGGACAAATAAAGGGGATATAAACTAATCAACATCTCCTTTGGATTTGTGCCTTTTCCAGCGCATTAAAAAAGTAAAAAAAAAAAAGCGAAATAAGAGGTTTTTCCCAACTCTCTGGTCTTATTTGACGATCATGTATCACCAGAATGATTATCAATCACCAATTACCAATAGTTTTGAGTCTTGATCCACTCGGATATAGAAAATCCTCCTATATACCTTAAACTAATCCTGAACTTTTGATTTAAATACAGCACATTTTTATCTTTTGTTCTGTTGGCAGTAAGGTTTCAACCAGTCTTTGATATTATATGTGTAACCCGAGCAGGTTATTAGGTTATTTCACACACTGCCCATAACCATCAATGCTGCAAGTTAGTAATAATATTGAAAATCCCAAGGGCCACTAAAAACGGCTTGTCTGATCTAAATGCACTCTTTCAGTTATTTTCCAATGTCAGTAAAATCCAATTGCGCCGTGTGACCTCTCTTAAGTAACATGTATTCACAGGCTGGAACCATGTCTTTCATTTGGTTTGTAAAGAATCACAAAACGCTTCTAAAAATAGCCCTCTGTGGCTGCAAAGCGGTTCCCAGGTGCGTCCGGTGAAGCAGCGAATGTGAAGTGCAGCTGATTAGGAGCAGGTGATGTGCGGAGGTTATAATTGTGCTTTTGTTCACGCCTTCACAGCTGACAACGTGCCACCTGCGTCAGAGAGACACGGAGACTCTCTCAGCTCCAAGACCAGCTCCGAGACCAGCTCCGAGACCAGCTCCGAAACCAGCTCCGAGACCAGCTCCGAGACCAGCAACAAGACCAGCAACAAGACCAGCAACAAGACCAGCTCCGAGACCAGCAACAAGACCAGCAACAAGACCAGCTCCGAGACCAGCTCCGAGACCAGCTCCGAGACCAGCTCCGAGACCAGCTGCGAGACCAGCTCCGAGACCAGCTCCGAAACCAGCTCCGAGACCAGCTCCGAGACCAGCTCCGAAACCAGCTCCGAGACCAGCAACAAGACCAGCAACAAGACCAGCAACAAGACCAGCTCCGAGACCAGCAACGAGACCAGCTCCGAGACCAGCTGCGAGACCAGCAACGAGACCAGCAACGAGACCAGCAACGAGACCAGCAACGAGACCAGCAACGAGACCAGCTCCGAGACCAGCTCCGAGACCAGCTCCGAGACCAGCTCCGAGACCAGCAACAAGACCAGCAACAAGACCAGCTCCGAGACCAGCTCCGAGACCAGCTCCGAGACCAGCAACAAGACCAGCAACAAGACCAGCTCCGAGACCAGCTCCGAGACCAGCTCCGAGACCAGCAACAAGACCAGCTCCGAAACCAGCTCCGAGACCAGCAACAAGACCAGCAACAAGACCAGCAACAAGACCAGCTCCGAGACCAGCAACAAGACCAGCAACAAGACCAGCTCCGAGACCAGCTCCGAGACCAGCTCCGAGACCAGCTCCGAAACCAGCTCCGAAACCAGCTCCGAGACCAGCAACAAGACCAGCAACAAGACCAGCAACAAGACCAGCTCCGAGACCAGCAACAAGACCAGCAACAAGACCAGCTCCGAGACCAGCTCCGAGACCAGCTCCGAGACCAGCAACAAGACCAGCAACAAGACCAGCTCCGAGACCAGCTCCGAGACCAGCTCCGAGACCAGCAACAAGACCAGCAACAAGACCAGCAACAAGACCAGCTCCGAGACCAGCTCCGAGACCAGCTCCGAGACCAGCAACAAGACCAGCAACAAGACCAGCAACAAGACCAGCTCTGAGACCAGCTCCGAGACCAGCAACAAGACCAGCAACGAGACCAGCTCCAAGACCAGCTCCAAGACCAGCTCCAAGACCAGCTCCGAGACCAGCTCCAAGAACAGCTTCATGACCAGCTCCGAGACCAGCAACAAGACCAGCTCTGAGACCAGCTCCAGTTCCACAACCAACTCTTTACTTAAGTGCTGGTTGGGGCCAGAAGTGTAAATTTGACATGAGTTTGGATATTATTTTCAAGTAGGCTTACAATCCACCGCAATACGGCCAAATATCAAGAAGAGATGTATTGGAAAACTGAAACCAAATAGTTATATGAAGTAACTATAGAGACAAACAGACTTTGAAATGAAGTATAACATGCCATATCACTGCAAATAGTTGTGAAAAATAAGTCAAAAATGTGGCTAAATGTATCTTAATGTGTGGACATTTTTACTGCTTTAGAGATATTCCAACGGGACAAAGGAAAATGACCTTATTTTTTTTTTTTTTTAAAGGTACAAAAAAAATCCGCTTTGGAAAAATAAAATGAACAATTCTTAGATAAGACTAAATGGCTTTATCCCATTGGTAAGTCTTGTGTTAACATGGCCAGAATGTGTTCAAACCAAGATAAAAAACGCTCGATTCTAGCATTAACTCATTGACTGCCAGCCTTTTTTGATGATTTCACTGATTCTCAAGACCCACAGAATATTGTTTCCTAAGACTATGTGAAATGTCAAACCAGATTCTGAAAGACTGGATTGTCTACCTGGATCAGCAAAAATACGCTTTTTTTAATCTATATTTATTGTCCTGTAATCCCCAGTCAAACAGAGGGTCTCAGACAAATACGTCAATGGCAGTCTTAATTACCTAATTTTATCACTTTTTGCAGTGGGCAGTGGTGACTTTTGCAGTGACCTCCAACACGAGCTTAATTTCCAGTGAATGAAGGTGTTTTCCCAGTGTCCCGGCTGCAGCAGGCCGTAAAGCAGAGGGTGACGGTGCACTGCAGACTGTGACAGATGAATGAGGCCTCGCTGAGTGGAGCATATGTCGTAATGAGCCTCCTGCTGCTGCACTCGCCGCATCACAACATGCGCCGGTGAAACACGAGCGGCGAGGAGGCAGGTAACGGCCGCGTGTTAATTAGGAGACTCCTCGCTCCGACACCTTTGGCTGTTATTTCATTCCTCTTGATATCGGCCCGTGTTTTGCATCTCAATTCGTTTTCAGGTTAGGCTTGGATTAATTTCCGAATTGAGACAAGAACAACTTTAGTGATAAAACAAGAAGAGTTGTGTGAGTTTTCAGACGTAAGCAGTCGATGTGTCAGGTCTCGTTGGTGAAGGAGGAGCAGAGTCTGAAGGAAAAGGATCCAGATGTAGTTCAATGAAAGGAGCGGGAGTAAGGACAGTGGTGATGATCCAGAACAATCCACCACAATTTATAATAATAACAATAACTCTTCTCCTTCTCCTTGTCTCCACCACCAATGGGGCGACAGTGGCTCAGTAGGTAGAGCTTTAGTCTTTAACCTAATGGTCGTGGGTTAGATCCTCCCATGTCACCTGCTCCCACTGATGTATGCTGCCGTTGTGTCCTTGGGCAAGACACTTAACCCCTATGCCTGAAGCCTCTGCTGAAACACCAAGATTCTTTCATCGTCGACTGAACAGAGGCCATCTTCCCGTGGATCAGTGAGGGACTGGTGCTTTGAGCTTTGGGTGGCAGCTCCGATTGCCACCTGGAATCAGAAAGGGACCAAAAAAATGGGATTAAAATGAATCATGCCACTAACAATGGCAAAGGAGATGGCTAAAGCTAGGCTAAATGCTAAAGCTACACTAAATACTAATGCTAAGCTAAATGTGTCACTCACTGGGGCGCAATACATACGTCACAATAAACTCAGATCCGATCGTTTCAATCTGCAAAAGGAGTTAACCCCTCCCACCCGTTAACGGAGTCAATGGAGCAAATCCAGACCTTAGTATGAAATGAAATGAGTACCATGGTGTGGTAAGACCAGGCTAGTTATGACCACATTGTTATAACAGTATCCGTGTCTCAAGGGTTTTTTTTATCTTATGATGACGTCTCTGTTTTTATGCATATTGTTACAAATCATATGAATGAATGCTTTATTTTAAGTCATGGTAAACAAGAACAAAGAACAACAACAAAACAACAGAAAAATAGAAAAAGAAACGATACATAATACTACACATTTATACGGTATGTTTTTTAATTAACAAAAATCCAGATCGAAATATTAAAAACTCTTAGTGTAAACAAATATTACTGCAAAAGTAATAATAGTGTCCATCCAAACCAAGACACTGCACCAGCTCTAAAAAAATAGAATGGAGGAGTTTGTTCGGTTTTATGTTAGCTACAGGTTTGTGAGAGCTTCAGGATTGAGAGAATAAGACAGGTATTGGATTTTTGTTTAATGCAGCTTCATTATGACACTAAAAAAAGCATTCAGTCATGTTGAATAAAATTGTAATTTCCTCGCCGTTTCCCACGCTCACGCCCGCTCTCTGGATGTGGTTAATTTTGCGGAGCCAAATACACATGGCCTTTTTAACGGGCTGTGGATTCACTGCAGCGTTTGACATGTGGAGAGCGGCGGCGAGTGGGAGACGCTATCATCCGCTGTAATGTGCAATATGTCCGGGCCACAGGAGTTCAGCTCTCTCCACTTACACCACTCTGCTCCCACCTCACACACACACACACACACACACACACACACACACACACACACACACACACACGCACACGTTTTTGTTACCTGGTGGGTCCCTTTGACAGGGCCGTTCAGAATGGGACCCATAGACATAATCTTTTTTACTGGGACTACTTTAAGTAATACAAAACAGTCAATAGAAAACAAACAACTCTTTTAAAGGAATTTTATTTTTGATTTTTTTTTCGAATTGCAGTGATTCTATTTTTGACATAGAATTTAATGCCACTCCATGTCCAATGTATAAGGTCATCTGGTGAGGCATTAATGCAGGCCAGGCAGTGAGACTTCCCAGGGACTTTTCCAGTCTGTATGAAAGGTGTCATGGTCTTCTCCACAGCCTTCACCTCAGATGCAGACCATGGCTTTCTCTAACGTTCTAGGGAGAGAAATAAAAATATATTAGCAATATACACTCCCAGGGGTAGGACCAAGCAGCCTGGCTGTAATCCCCCACCTGGTACACTTACCAGAAGGGGCACTGCCACTACCATGGGGTGCATCTGGATGAATGGTTGAAGGTTCTCCGCTTGAAGTTTCTTTTAGCCCGTCCGTTTGTGAGAGGATCTCTACTGCTCTCCCTGTCGCACAGAAAATAAAAATACAAGTGGCCTTTAGGGGAAAAAAATTATACATATTTTAATAATATCAAGAATTACCTTCAGGCTCAATTTGTATCTGGTCGAGGCTCTTTCCTTCGAATTCCGTCACTCTTCCCTGCTCCATGGCCATCAACACTTTGCTGATTTTGGCCAGCTCCAGTGTCCCCTCTGGTAGTCTGTAATATTGTCTGTGGATGCGAATGTCATGGCCGAGGAAGTTGGCAAGTATGTCCATCTCATTCTCTTTCATATTGAGAACTGTAGACATAGTAGCTACATGTGCTTTCTAAGTTTGGTTGAGGATAGCATCTCTGGATGCACCGCACCACATTCTTTGGCTACCTGCCGTAGGGAGTCTGATCCCCTGATGTGGGTGTCTGCGCCCGGGCGGGAGAAGAAGTATGGGTTATGGTCAGAGATGGAACAGGCCCTTCTGTTCTCCACCAGCACCTCCATCGAAGCAATCATTTCAGGAGTCAAAAGAACCACCACTTTCCGACTTCTTTTCCCTTTAATTTCAATGCGTTGAAAATGCTGACACAGCTTTTTCTCAAGTTCGGACAGTCCCAGAGAAATGTCAGAATGGATCCCAGTCTTACTTCTTAAGGTAAACGCTGTCAGTGGCATCTTTGAAACCTCACCTTCCCTTCTTCGATTGAAAATAATGAAAACTGCCAGTTTAGACCAATGCTTAGACGTTGGCTCACTTATTAGGGTTTGCACATATTCAGGTCGACATACCTCAATATGTGCATGCATGGCTCTAACGTCCTCAGTCAGAGGGAGCAGGTCCGGAGTGTTCCACTTGGCTAGCCGGAGGGTCTGTAGGGCAGCAGAAGAAACACAGACGTTCCGTCCCACCTCTTCTCAAAAAGCAGCCGGCTTCGTTGGAGGTTTTTAATAAATAGTTCATCAACACAATGCTCCATTTTTGAGTCACATTCAAGAATATCTGCTAGCTTTCTGAGGCTATGGCCGAGTTTGAGGGCCAAGGATGGAGTCTTGTATTGATTTGTTTCCTCATCATATCCAGCCACAGACCTGACTGCATCAATCACATGGTTAAAGTTGGAAGGAATAAAGAAATCCTTAATTGTTTTCAGTTTCCCTGCAGTTTTTGCTTCGTTAATTAACCTACCGACTTCTCTCATTTTCTGCCTAATGTAATCATGCTTAGTCTTATCATGCCCGTGTTTTAAGTACAGGTGCTCTCCGAGTCTCAGAATCCCCTTTTCTGCTTTGACAACACCCGTGACCTCATCCTGATGCATTGCCCAAATTAAAGACCACAGCTTTTTGCTGATGCCCTCCGGTACAGGCTGGGCTAGGGAGCAGAGGGACTGGACCCTACTTCTACCTGGTTTAGCCTGGGCATCTTTCTGTGAAAGCCGGCACCTGGCCACATGCCTCCACAGCGACTTTCGCTTAAGCAATGCCCCACAGTCTATACAGTGCAAAAACTCACTGGATTTAACTGGGCAATTTGGCTGTTTAGCTGGGACTAAAGTTCCAATGCCGGCCTTTAAAACCTCAAAATTGTGCTCACGGTTTCCACTATTCCTGATCAAATCAAACTGAAGTTTACGTGCTTTAGATTTCACAGGTAGAGCCAATGCTCTGGCTACGTCACTTTCATTTCCATGTTTTCTAGTCAAATGACGGGACATTTTGTGGCAGGACATTGAACAGTAGAGGCAGAAGTGTCTCTTGCTGTAAACTCTCCCCCCATTTTTCTTCTTTTGCAGCTGCATGATAACAATCTTATTTGCCTTTGGTTCGTCACTTTCCGAGTCTTGAAGAAAAGTGTTTTTGATTTTTCTTTTTCCATACTTTTTTACAGGTTTCTACTTGACAGTTAAATCGTCAGAATCTGAGTCGACTTCATCAATTAGGGACTCTTGACTAAGCTGCACAAACAACAAATAATTTGTAATAATTCTATATAACAATTTGAAGTCATGACTTGTAGTCAGCACTTACCAGTGGTTTGTAAGCGTGCGCTTCAGTGTGCTCCTCCATGATTTCTTGCAGCCTAATGATTTCCTCTGTTGTGCTGCTCCATGATTGGCTCCAGCCTGCTGGACTGAAATTGCCCCAGTGTGCCCCTCCTTGATATCCCGCAACCCACCACCAGGGTTCCGACACAGGAAAAGTAAACCTCCATATTTTTACAGAGACTGCATAAGGACCGTTAGAAAAGCATTACCCATTGATTATTAAGCTTGGACCAGTGGGGTCCGGTGTTCGGGCCCCACCACGTAAAACCAGTCCCCATGACGTGAGTGGAATCTCAGGTTATGGAACCCACCAGGAATTGAAAACAAGTGCACGCACACACACACACAAACACACACAGGCACTACCACTACAGGCAAGTATTAAAGTAATTTCAACATTTGCAAGGTTGAAATTCCTATTTTGATTCTGAAAAATTTCTGGTTAGCCTCAGGCGCGTCCCACAAGAAAATGTGAGGTATTTTCCAGACTAACCGTACGTGAATGGGACTTTAAACCTCCATTATGTTAGAGACGGAGCCATTGTACAGGATTGAAACATGTGTCTGTCCTCCACAAGTCAAGAGGCGCCTTCAGTCACTCTTTGCCGCTGGTTCAAAAGGTTCAAAAGGTTCAGTCCCTTCTCACTTCACGTCCACGAGCTGCTCTCACCGCATGAAGCCGCCTCCGCACACGTGACGATGCAGTCCAGGAACTTTAACTCACTCTCACTCCCACG